ATTCACTATGTAAGAATTTGTTCACTATATAAGAACTTGTTCGTTATGCTTCAGAAGATTGGAGACTGATGAGAATTAGGCTGGGGATGGATTAATGATTGTGCATTGAGCATTGACTCCCCTATACAGAATTTTATTGTTGTTAACAACCATTTGATTAATAAATATGAGAGATGCCCTCTCAAAAAAAAAATGCCATACAGACAGGTGCACACACGCATTTTGGTGAGGCAGAAATTATTTAACAGTGTAGGAAACAGACAACTCTGCCATTTGGTTTGATTTTGACCCTAGAGGGCCTATTGAAAGTTTCAGGTCCCTCTAAATAGAAATAAGTTTCAGAGAAAGTGCTAAATGGTCTATCAGGACTTAATAGTTCTATTGAAAAGAAATAATTTGAATAAATAACTTAAAAATTAGTGTAACATTAAAAAGAGTTATTTCTCTATTTTTTATTCTGACAGTTAAATAACTCTTTTGAATATCCCTCAAGTCCATCCCTCTTTTTCCATTTCTATTGCCTCTCTTTAGATTCTCAGTGCCTCTCACCTGTATTTATTGCAGGTGCCTCTGAACTTGGTCTCTCAGTTGCTGTCTTTCTATCTTCTAATCAACTTCTATACTGCCACTAATGTGATCCTGAAACTCAGTGCTTTAAAACTTTCAGTGCTTTCCCTTTGAACTATATTTGAACTAAACTTCATAGTATGGTGCAAAAGGCCCATGCAATTTTTGCATGCCTCTTCTAGCCTCATCTCTTCTCATTTCCTTTCTTATGCTTTATGTTTCCACAGTGCTAAGTTACTTAGATTTTTCTGAACATCCATGCAGTTTCATATTTCAGATTTTTGTACATTCTATGCCCTCTGCCTGAAATGCCCTCCCTTAAGCCTATTAATGTAGTTTATATATCATGTTTCATCTCCTTCAGGAAAGGCTAAATCATCCTTCATTTGGTATATGTATACCGTGTCCACATTTCATTGTCAAATCTTTCCTATTCCAAGTTGCTATTAGTCTCTCACCCCTATTGTGAGGCCACTGCATGGCCTTGGTTTGAATCAGAAATAAGATTGTAGACAGGAATTGGTGTCATGCATTCCTTGCACATAGCAGAAGAGTGGATGAAATTTACTGAAGGAGGGCAAATGTGAATGTTAAAGTTTATTTAAGAAAATCAAGTTAAACTCCAAATGGATTAATCTGATCAATTAGCAGGTTTACTTTTGTTGTTTGGCTTTATAATTGGTCCTCTTTGTGTACATCTTTGTTAATTATTGTATTTCTGTGTTGGCTGACAGACTGGATAAAGATATGGCAAAGGAAGAATTTTGATAGTTGAAATTATTTTAATGATACCAATTATGCTTTTTTTTTTCATATTCGAGATACGGGATTTTTGAACGATGTAAAGAGTTGGTAGAAGCAGGATACGATGTCAGGCAACCAGACAAAGAAAACGTATCGCTTCTTCATTGGGCTGCTATTAACAACAGACTGGATCTTGTAAAGTAAGATGAGATATATGTGTGTTAATTTATAATTCTAGACCTCTCCTTTACTTGTCTTTTTTCTTCAAGTGTGAGTGTTGAACCATGTATAGTCCTTTATTATTAATGAATACCTGAAACCTTGTGCCATACCCATCTGTTATCATAGTGTTGAAAAGGACCTGGGAAATCATCCACTCCAGGATTCTCATTGAACCAAAAAAGAAAATTAAAGAAAAAGCCATGGGGTCCCATCATAAAGATAAAGTTAGGTAGTGAAATTGAACATGTTTTGAAAAGGAGAAGCATAACATAAACTTTCTCAGAATAGAACAGAAAGTTTCATCCAGGAAAAAAAAATATTGAAATATTTTATGTTGTAATGATGTCAGGCAAATAAATAGGTAGGGGAATAATTTAACTTTTTTTTTTTTAACTAAGTATGGGATACATTTTTAAGTAGGCATGTATTGGATTTTATAAAATAATTCCCCTTCATAAAGCACTACTACCTCCCCATTTTTGTTTGTTTGTTTGTTGTTTTATATAGTGTATAAGATATATGTATGTATGTGATATGTATATATTTTGTAATACACATATTTAAAGTCCCTGAGGTTTAAGATAAAAATATACTAAAGTTTAAAATATACTAAAATAAAGACACATTATGTACTTGTAGGCAAACTTTTTTTTGGGGAAATAGGTTGGTGTATTGTTTGGATATGATATATGAAGCACAACTTTGAAATAATGAGACTAATTCCTATAAACCACAAAGATAATAAATCTTTTTACCTTGTAGGTTCACTTTTTGCCATGGATCACGTCTGTGTTCCCCAAATAGAAAGCAAAACACTCAAGGTGTCTAACTTTTCTGAAAATATTTGAATTAATTTTAAACTGCTTGCTTTTAGAATTCATCCCCACATAGTAATTCTAATTTTAAACTGTTAAAAATGACAATTTTACCTTTCTTCTTGCAAATTAAGTAAAATATATGTGTGACTGTAAATGTTTTGATTATAAACCATTTCAAGAGTGCTGTGGTAGTAAAATATGCAGAGAGTCAATACCATATGTTTGGTATCTAAGTTATAATGGAATGGTCATGACAACAGGAGTAATAATTTTTATGCTAAGAATATTTCTCCCAAGTGTCTGTTGGATGCTGTTGTGTGAATCTCTGAGGCATCTATAAAGCTGCGTGTCTTAGGGAGGGTTATAACTGTAATTTCTATTTTCTAATATATTTATACTAATGTTTCCTTTCTCAATATGAATTTTAACTTTTAAATCTTACTCTCATTTATGTCTGCTTTTAACAGGTTTTATATTTCAAAAGGTGCTGTGGTAGATCAGTTAGGTGGAGATTTAAATTCAACTCCTCTTCACTGGGCCATCAGGTAAAGGTTTCTTTTAAACACTGAAATTGCTGTTCAAAATCAAAAGTAACTTGAGTTCATTTTCTGAACATTATAGGCCAGTACTTTCCAAGAGTGCTTTCTGTGATGTAAATGTTCTAATCTGTGCTGTCCTATATCATAGCCACTAGCTGCATGTGAATGTGAAATGTGGCTTAATACTAGTAAGGAATTGAATTTTGGATTTTATTTAATTTTAACTAATTTGAATTTCAATAGTCACAAGTGGCTAGTAGCCACCATATTGGAAATTGCAGTTATAGACCATTTGAAAGGCTTTCTTTTTCCCCACCATCATTAAAAAAAAAAAAATACAGTTTTGAAGAGTCTTCCCTAGACAATGTTTTTTGGTTTAATTTAGGGCTCCACTATGTTGCTCAAGTTCAGGTATGTGTATTATACTTTCTTATAATCAAAATAAATCCTTTGTATTTCATCACATGAAAAAAATTGATAGTTCAGTGAACTCTGAACTCATTCAGTTCTTTTCTCTCGTGTGGATTGGCCATCTGAAGCTGAAGCTAATTAGTGCCTGTCTTGATTACTTTACAACCTCCTCATCTTTCATTTTGACTCGGCTCTCTGTGGTTGGTGTGGTTGACATGATCCTGAAACTAAAGTGAATAATTGTTCCTATAAGGCAAGGAGTTGAATCTTGTCTCTACAGCCAAGAATTTTGAAAAATCTCGAGTTAACTCATCCTCTTTAACCTGCTGAGGGACAGTGCTTTACATGGCAAATGAGCCATATTCATTTGTAAAAATATGTAATTCTTAGTAATAATATTACCACAGTATATCTGCCATCTACTAATGTTATACTTCAACTTATTTGGCTTATTGTTTTTAAAATAGCAACAGTGAAGTCTTTAACAGTGATGTTAAAGTTTTTGTTTTTAGCTTTAGTCATGTAAAGTTATTATTTACATATGGTAGCAACATAAGCTTTAAGGTTATTAAGTTTATTACCTGCACTCAGGAAGGACTGTCCAGGTAGTTCTAAGTTTGGAACATCTAAGTAAATGACGTTCAGAGAATCTCTAGTGTTTTAAAAATCTTACTGTTAGAAAATATTCTATATCTAAACAAAATCCCCCACATCTTAAGTATATCAGTTTCTCCCTGAATTTTTTCATTTTCTGCATGCTACAGAATATAGTATAATCTTTATTCTTTATTTACAGACAGGGGCATTTACCTATGGTCATATTATTGCTGCAGTATGGTGCAGACCCCACTCTCATCGATGGAGAAGGATTCAGCAGCATCCACCTGGCAGTATTATTTCAACACATGCCCATTATAGCGTATCTCATCTCAAAAGGACAGGTATGTTTTGAAATACATCTTATACTCAGCTATTACAAATCTGAAGAGATTCAGAAGATTTTTAGTAACTGTCCTCATTTTTAAAGTAGAAGTTAATAGATGACCATACATTCAAATATTAGCCTCAGTAAGTCTAAGTATTGAATATTGCTTTTCCTGCTTCATTGGAGCACAAAGGACAGGTCATTTAGCTCAGTAACATATAGTAGATGTTTCTGAAATTTGTAAGCTCATAATAGTTTTCCGTATGATCCTAGCAATTTGCAGACTTTTTCAAAAACATGACTTCAAAACCTGTATTTTTCTTCTGGTTGAATATAGAGATGGTAGTCAGATCACTAAATTAACCCATCGTTTACTTTAATTATTTGAGTCCAAATGGGGGACCAATTTGAACAGATGCTTCTTATTGTTCACTAGAGTAATTCCTTGAAAAATGACTTGTCTTAAGAGACATCCATTTATGGCACAGGTTAAATTGTAGGGTGTTGGCAGTGGGAGTTTCACTGTCAGCTGTTCTTGCCTGGGACATGCTTTCTGGTAGCAAAGTAGTTTACACAGCAACAGTCTTGCCTGTGACAGGCATGGAAACATGTTTGCACAAACGCTGTTGGAATGATTGTTCTCTTTAATAAGCACTTTCTGTCCAAATTAGCCAATTGAAGTAGAATAATTATAACTTCCTAGATCTCATTTTGGAAAGATAACATGAGAAGGAGTCCTTTCTGCTTCTCTTTGGGCTCCTTCCCAAGTTGTACTCCTTCAAGGCCTATAAGAATCTTCAGTAATTGAAAGTCTTTGGTTTGATTGAAATCATTATCAAACACCTTAAACTTGGGCCTGTTTTATTAAAAGGAGCATATCTTTATGAAGATACGATTTCTTTCTTTTTTTTTCTATATTGTAGAAAATAGAATTTTAAAGAATGCTACTCTTTAAGACGGAGTTCGATAAGTCTCCAAAGACAGTGAGTTGCCTCAGAAGATAGGGAGGTCACTATTACAGGGTGTGTTTAAGTAGAGACTGGGTGACTGTGTAAGAGATGATAATCTGAATTAATATGTCAGGTAAGGTCTGAACTCAGTGAATTCTGAGGTCTCTACAGTCACTTATATTTGAGTGATTATCAGCTTTTTTTCTCTTTCCCTTTGCTTTCTTCCATTCACCATAAAACACTTTAAGGCATAAATTCAGATTTTCTCTTTAAAAATATTTTGTAGAAATCAGCAGATTTTTATGCTATGGATGTGAAGCAGAACATTCTTCTATTCAAATGATATTTGAACCCTTTCTTGTAGACACAGTGGTAGTATTTAATGCATTAAAGATAATTCTTTAATAAAGAAACCTGAATTCTATTTAGAGAAGAAAGTGAATTTTGACCGTTTTCAGTTCTGCTGACTGACTCTTCTTTTTGAGCAGAGTGTGAATATGACAGATTTAAATGGGCAGACACCTCTCATGCTTTCAGCTCACAAAGTACTTGGGTAAGTGAGTTAAACTGAATTGCCTCATTCTGATTCTTGGTTCTGACCATTTCTTTTCTGTGTATATAATTTTAAGTATTTTAGTCTATGTGGGATGACACTACATTCTGAAGAAGAAAGTAAAATTTTCCACCGTGTGACTGACAGTAACTTTTAATGTAGTTTTAGTTCAAATAGCACTGTTGAAATAAATCTTCTCTTTTCTGATAGCTTTGGGGAAAAAGTTCGAAAGCTACTAAGAAGAAAAAAATTTCCTTTTAAAACAGATCCTATGGTGTATACTTGTTAACATGACTTAAATTTCTTAGTTTGCATTTTTAAGAAATGGCTACAAGTATAAATGTTTTCATAATTTTAAATCTAGAGGATAAATATGCTTTCCAGAAAAAAATAAAATTTGAGGTTCCCTGACATTGGTGACTGCTCTGAAAATATTAATTATAAATGATCTATGGAAATAGTCTGTTTATATGGCCATATCAGGTACTTACATATTTAGGTTTGTGTATTTATTTTATAAACACATGTAATTTAATGACCACTATATAGCCCAACTTCTGGTATTCTTCTATTCAAAACATGTGCAGTTTCCCCTTTATCAGTTTGTTTCCAATGTTATACTTAATTTCTGATTCTGATTCTACTTAGGACTTCTCTCCTAGGAACTGAGCTAGTTCTGATGCCATTTCCTTTTTGTTCATGGAGTGGTGGGACTGGGGGTAGAACTCTGTTAGAAAGCATTTTGTCTTCTTTACATGACTAAAGCTGATAAGTCTGACATCAGGTATAGTGTTTAAAGATCTTGGTAGGATAAGTAAAGTACAATATTGTTTTATTAAAAGAATCTCTTGTAATCATGAAGAAGGGGAAGGTATTGATGGTAAGGTAAAAATAGTTTATTGAATTCTGCCTTCTGTCTAGTCCGTAGCTTTACAAGATAGACAAATATTTTAGGGTATTAGTTATAGCTCTATTTAATAATTAGAGGGAAAATGGAGTTAGCTTTTAGTTTATCTCCTCAAATATAATGTACATTTAATTTTTAATTAGGTAAATAACAGCATTTAATACTAGCCAAGGTTAACTTTACATGCAAAAAAAAAAAAAATGGTTAACTAAAACAATAGCATGGAAGTCCAAGTTTAAAAAACAAAAGCAATTCTTCCACTGTATTGATGTTAAAGTTGTACTATCTACATAGCAGGCTGTCACTTGATAGGTGTCTTTTTTGGGGTCTCCTATTAGCACTTAGAATAGAACCCTCAACAAAGAAGTTCTCGGTTTTCTGACTATTTACTGATTGGTTGGTTAATTGATACATTATCTCGAAAGATTCATTATTTGCATTTACCCTTCAAATCATTCATCTCTCTAATACCCCTTGGTATTTTATTGTTTTGAGACAGGTCAGAACCAACTGGATTTCTTTTAAAATTTAATCCTTCTCTTAGTGTGGTTGATAAAATACACCAAAATACTCCACTTCACTGGGCAGTTGTAGCAGGAAATGTTAATGCAGTTGATAAACTTCTGGAAGCTGGTTCTAGTCTGGATATCCAAAATGTTAAGGTATGACCAGGTATTTATCTCCCTTAGTTTATTATATCTTTGTTATAAGATTGATAAGTTAACATAAAGATGAGCTATAAATAGTTTTAGTTACCACAAAAAAGATATAAACGGTAGTAGCTTGTTATTAGAATAAATATTTTGAGTCTTTTATTCTGTTGAATTTTTATAAGATATTTAGCACCCATACAAAATCAAAATATAATTATATAACTTTTTCCTCTTTTTTTAAAAGGGAGAAACACCTCTTGATCTGGCTCTCCAAAACAAAAATCAGCTCATTATTCACATGCTAAAAACAGAAGCCAAAATGAGAGCCAACAAAAAGTTCAGACTTTGGATATGGCTGCAGAAATGCGAGGTATTTTCAAATGGGGCCTATTCTGTGGGCTATAAGAAATGTCTTATTCATTTGTTTTTGTTTTTCAAGGTATCAGGGGAAACCAGGGAGTTGACTTAGTGCTGTATTATTATCTCCTGATTATATCCTTCCCACGCATGCCATGACCTCAAGTTAGAAATTTGACACTTTCATTGGCAATTTATTGTTGGCTCTCAGCTAGATGGCTCTAAAACTTTGTTACCTTGTGAATATCATGGTGTGCTTCTAACATTTATTTAATGAGTGAATTGAAACACGGATGGTTTAGATTCTTAGAGTAGCAATAGGAGAAATAACCTGATTGCAAGGAATTTATAGACGCTTTTCTTAAAGAAGTTGTTTCTTACTAAAATTTCTTTCAAAAGGTATATAGTAACATTCAAAATGTTGTGTTAGAATTATGAGGAGTTAGCCTTTAAAAATGACAATGTTGCAAACTTCAAGCATGGAATATCTCTTCATAAAGTAAAACACATCTGGAACTATGAGAGATGAAACCTCAATTTTATTCTTTTTTTAACTTGGTAGTTCTGAGTGGTGTCCTTGTAAACTTAAAAGTGAACTGAATGGTAGAAGGAGTTAGGAAGTTTAGCTTGTTCTCATGAATGGCCAACAAAGTCTAACTCATAGTAATGAGTATGATTCAAATTGTTTAAGTGGGATATTGGATTCCACTATTTTTAATGTTTTTAAGTATGATAGGTAAGCATCATCTTATCTAATAAAAGCTAGTAATTATATTTTCAGAATGATTCTAAATTAACAGATACCAGATTTCTATGCAGAAAGTTACCTGCTCTGCATCTAATTTCACCTCTCAAAATGTCAGATGTGTTTTATTTTTCCTTGAACCTCTTTTCTATCTATTCATTCTCTTGGTGATTCATGCATTTTCACGGCTTTAAATGCTGTCTATATGTGGACAACTCCCAAATTTATCTCTAGTTAGGCCTTTACAGACTTGTATATCCACTTACCTACTTGGCTTACCCAGTTCAGTGTACAGTAGGTATCTCCAGCATAGCATATTCAAAGCTGAACTCCTGATCTCCTCCCCACCTGTCCCCAACTATTCCGTCCACAACCTTCCGCATCTTGGTAGGTGGCAACTTCAGCATTCCAGTCATCTTTACCTTTTTTTTGTCATACCATGTATCTTGTCCATCAGAAAAACATACTGCCTAGTTCTTCCTCAGTATATACCCAGAATCTGACCCCTTTTCACCACCCCACTAATGGTATTTTGGTCCAGCCACCATTATCTTTCATGTGAATTGTTGCAGCTGTTTGACCCATCCCTGCTCCCACTCACCTTTGTTTGTTCTCAACAGAGCAGCCAGATAAAGCTTTTAAAATGTAAGTCACATCCTATCATTCATCTGCTCAGAATCCTATGGTGTCTCCTCTTTTCTTCCAGAATAAAAGCCACAGTCCTTACAATGGCTTAAAAGGCCCTGAGTGATCCAGCTTTTATATAAAATCCACTGTATTTGTCTGTCTTCCTCTGCTCCATGACAGAAAGACCTTAAATTTATTGATGTATCCCAAGTGCCTCGAACAGTGCTATCTACCATACAGTTAGCCCTGGAATCATTAGCATCCTGAGGATTTTTCAGTCTTTGGCCTCCGTGTGACATTTAACACTGAAAACTATTCCCTTCTTGACATTCTCTTCCCTGGCTTCACAGGAACCTTTCTCCTGGTTTTCATCTGGCCTTTCTGGTCACACTGATCACTCGAAGTTACCTTTGGGGACTTAGCTTTTTTACCCTTAAGTGTTTGTTTTGGCCAAGATTCTGCCCCTTTCTACCTGCACACAGTCCTTGGGATGTTGTTCATTCATGGCTTTACCACCTGTGCACTGATAAATACCAAGCTTTCCCCTGAGTAGTAGGCCTGCCTTTCTGACTGCCTCCTGGCTATCTCCTAGAGGTCATTGGCATCTGCAGTTGCACCTGCCCTACACTTAACTCATCTTTTCTGCCAACTTGTTCCTTCTAAACTTCCATATTAGGGGATGTCACCATCTTGTATCCAGGTTGGAATTCTTATACTTAGTAAGTCTTAGGTGTATTGATTTTTGTGTAGTCTCTTTGTCTTGCTTTATGCTTTCTAACATATAATACTATTTGAAAGAAATTAGTTTTTAAAATGTCAGCTATCATTAGCACTTGCCTAAAAGACCACCATTTCTTGGAGGGGAGGAGAGTAAAACAAAATATGTTAAAGCAACATTTTATAAAATGTATGGCTTTTAAAAGATTGTTTTCCAAGATTTGTAATTTCTCAAACTTCAGATTTATCAATCACCAATTTTGAAGAAAAACTCTGTGCTCTGTTATTGTATTATTATTATTATGTACTTAGGAAGTAGTTTTTCTGTTGAACTAACTATTATTAGATACTTAGGAGGTAAAATACATAAAGTTCTAAAATTCTGAATCTCTTGATAGCTCTTCCTGCTGCTGGTGCTTTCTGTGATTACCATGTGGGCTGTTGGATACATTTTGGACTTCAATTCAGATTCTTGGCTATTAAAAGGATGTCTTCTAATAGCATTGTTTTTTCTGACATCTTTGTTTCCAAGGTGTGTATATTAGTCTTTGCAAGGCTGGTTATTGCATTTCCAATTTGATTGCTTATCTCCTCTATTGCTGATTGAGCTGGAATCACAGATTTTTATTGAGCTATAAATGTTCCTTCTCACATAGAAGCATCCTCAGTATTGATGGGAGGGGAGGGCTTTTGGTAGTATAAGATTTGGCTGAAAGCAAATTTTTGGTCAACCCAGTAATTTGATTAAATTGGTTGAAAATAAATAGCTCACTTTTTGAATTGAATTGTTAATTTTAGTGAGTAACAGGGAGATTTTTGTCACTGTTTTGCATCTTAAAGCATATTTGGCCTATTTTTCAGATTTTTATGTTTTTTCCTTTTCTTAATATTAAATTCATTTTGACCTGGTTATTTTGCTTTTAAGGTTTTTTTAGTTGAAACAACCTAATTATAGGAAGTTATAAAATAGTAACTATAGTATGGTTCTATTTTTAGGAAAGTATTTATTCATGATTATAACCAGTCATTAGTTAAAAGTCAGATTGCCTGGATTCAAGTCAAGCTTTGCCATGTAGCAGTCTGACCTTGAACAAGTTGCTTTACTGGTCTGTACCTCAAATGCTTCAACTATAAAATGAGGATAATTGCGACAGTATCTGCATCATGGTTAGCACATATGCAATAGTTAGAACCATGGCTGACACACAATACTTGATAATCGTGTCACAGCCCAATCTCTTCTCGCTTCCCTTTCTCAATAAAATGGCATCCAGCTCCTGGTGTGAATAATGGGTATCATTCTCTGTTCTTCCCTTCTTTTCACTTCCCACATATAACTCATTATTACTAGTCCTTCCTGTTCTGCCTCCAATTGATCTCTTTCCATCTCCACACTTGGCACCCTTGACCATGCCTCCAAATGGTCTCCTGACTCCAGCTCTCACCCCACTGTCAGTCACCCCCACTTAGCAATTGGGATGGTCTTTAAAAAGGCAACCAGTTTCTGTCTTTTCTCCCTGCTTCAAGCCCTCCAGTAGCTTTTTCTTATATTCAGAATATAATCCAAACTCCTTGTCAATGAGGTATTATGTGACTTCATCTCTGGCTTCACCTCTGCCCTCCTATCCCTTCACTGCTCTCCAGTCTTCTTTCTGTTTCTAGAGCACATCAAGCTGATGCCCACCCAGGGCCTTGGTTCTTGCTTGTGTCTTTGTCTGAAGTATTCTGACAAACATGTATTATTGTATAGCTGGAGACACCATTCAGGCCTCAGGTCCACCATTACCTCCTTAGGCCATCCCTGACTAACTGCTGCATCACCCCATTTTATTTTCTTTGTAGCATTTAATCACCACTTCCTGGAATGTAAGGCCCATGCAAGCAGGACACGTCTCTCCTGTAGAACATTTTCATTCACTGAATGAAAGAAAAATGTAATGATGATGATCCATAGAAAAGAATCTAAAAGGAAATACAATATTGCTCTCTTTAGGATGTGATTAGGAATATTCTTATGCCTTTCTTTTGCTTGCAATTCCAGAAATTTCTGGAATAAGTGTGAGCTGCTTTTGTCATAAGAAAAAACAGTATTCGAGGAATCTTATGTCTTGTTTACTCAAAGTCACATAGCAGGACAGTTGGTTGGAAGTGAGTTAGAATTTAATTATAAAGTAAAAGCTCAAACTTCTGAAAAATGGGAAAATATCTAAAATTGTCTGCTACTCAGAAAACTTTTAACTTAGAGGTACTCATTCATTTTACACTAATAAGATTGACTCAGTTGCCAAATAAATTTTAAGTCAGATCACCAGGAAATCATAATCATCATTTTGGTTGTTCTGTTTTTTTTCCCTTTCCTTTTCAGAGAGTGAGGGCTGGCAATATCTACTTACCTGGGGTAGGGACATTTGAGATTTTGTTTTCATAGAAATCCACATTATAAAAAAAATCATAAGAAACCTTTTGTTTTGGCTGATAGTGAATTGAGGGCTTCATATGCTACACCTGGCATGCAGACACAGTTCAAATGGGAGACAAATGTATATGGGAGCTTTCTCCGTATTGCTTTTATTTCTCTCAGGATTCTCTGTAGAGTCCCCAAAAGAAATACGAATAGGGTATGTCTCAATTGAAATAAAAAGATTTATTGAAAATATAAAGTCATTTCTAGTGAAGTAATACATAAGTTGCTTATAAGAATTGAACACTTGAGAGTTCTTGTGCTTGTTTCCTCATGTAAAATGGGGTGTTGATAGTGCAAAACTCTTATTACCACATGGAAAGTGGCACATAGTAAGCACTCAGTGAGTGAGAACTGCTATCATTGTTATTTAAGAGAATCATTGTTACTTAAGGGAATTTAGAACTAAAATTAACATGAATCATAATTATTTGCACTAATACCTTATGTTTATCCTTTTTTTCTTTCAGGTTTTTGGTCGGATATAAGAGCCTTGTGTACATACCAACAGTTTTTCTGCTAAGTTCCATTTTTTGGATATTTGTGACTTGGTTCATCTTGTTCTTCCCTCATATCCTTCAGGCTCAAATTGAATGTATATTTCATTTGCCTTTAAAAAATAGTAATGCCATTGTTAGAAGTTTAGGTGTTAGAAGAGATCTAGGGAATTCAACTCCCATTTATATTCACTTAATGATTTTGGTTAAAGATGTTTATTATTGAAAATCTTCTCAGTTCTGGAAATAATCTCAGAGCACACCATGGAAACAGTAAGCATCTAGTGTTTATTACTCACAGGAAGGAAGCAGTAGAATGAGTTATTGCTTTACTTGGACCCAGAAAAATTTGTTGTATTGCTTTGAGATTCTCTGTAAGGTCAGATGGTCCTCTTAACTTCATCAGCAGGTATAGTTGGTTAATAAATCTTCTGGATACCAAGATGGCCTATATGGGAGGGCTATTGGGGCACGTGTGTCTTCCTAAGCAATGGTCAGTACAACATTATTATCCAAGGGAGTGATTTTCAATCTACAGTAAAAATAAACTTACATTGCCACCTAAAACATGTGAAACAAAGTTTCAGAACACAATACTCCTAATATGTGTTTTACTTTGAAATTTTGTTTTATCCTATTCTCTTTCTTTTTTAAAAAGTGCTAGTTACAGCCTGCTTAATTCTTTCATGATCTACTACTAATGGATGGCAGCCCATGGGGTTTTTTTTTGGTTTTGTTTTTTTTAAAAAAACAACTCATCTAAAGAATAGGTTTATCACTTGAAGAGCCAGGCTCAGGCCAAGTCCAAGTTAGAGGTGTGTTATGCTCTGTGTTGATTAAGTCTACTCACCTAGAGGTGGGGATAAGGCTTATTTCTTGGTTTGTAGCTAATTACAGTTCCCATTAGGAGGGAGGCATTTCCTCCAGTTTTTGATCTTCCCACCTTTTTCCAGGCTCCTTTCTCCCCTTTTAAGGATCTCAGGAAGCTATTATAACCTTGCTTTCTTTACAAATGGTGAGTAGAATGTACCTTTAGGCATATTCCTTTAACTTCTATGTTATTTCTCTTTTTGGCAATAGTATTTTTGAAAAGAAAGAATTTAGAGCTTATGGGAGAGCTGCGTATACTCAATTCAAGAATATTTTTTCATAGAATAAATGTAAAATGAGGGGGCTTAAGAGTTCTCAGACTGCGTACATCTACTTTCATTATGGCATGTTTTTACTTTAATGATGCTTTTTATTTTGAGTATTATTTGTAATACTTTTCAGATTCCTTTAATCTAAATGAATGACACATTGGAATTCATTTTACTTTTTTCAAAAGATTTTATTCTGTCTCATAACCTTTGCCTCATAACTGATTTGGGGGCAACTTTTTACGTATTAGCCTTATTATCACCATTTAGTAAAGGCTTGGGTGATGATAATATGTGATATAAAAATAATTTATAAGTAACCATGAATGCATAAAATAGCAACACAATATATACCAAAATCACTTGCAGAAGTTCCAAAGCTGGTAGATTGTAAGAAAATTGACATAATTCTGAGAAGGGATGGCTGATTTTCTTTTACCGACCCATGTGGCAATGGAATAAACACAGTTTTTAAATGGTGTTTCTTAGTGAATTTTTAAAATTTAAGCAATTCACATTATTTCAAATTTTGTGCAAAAAGTCTTATGCTGAATTATTTCAAATTTGCAAAATCAATATTAACAAAACTGTTAATTCCACTGTAGTTTTGAAAACTTCAGTTACAGAACTTAGTATTTAGTTGAGTTTAATTATAAGCTGCTCAGTATTTGTGAAGAGGTGAATTTCCATAGCTAGTTGGAATCTTAAGACTTTTGAGTTGACATGGTGGGATGTTTCACTGGCATGTACAGCATAAAGCCATTTGATCTAGGCACCTACATCGGCCTGCTACTGGCGAAGTCATGTCAGTCAGTAGGTGGCATACTTTGCCATCTGATCAGTGTTTTCAAGCTGAATGTTAAATGCTGTTTCAACTGCCATGGGTATGAACTAAGGCGCTACTCTGCAAAGGCCCATCCTGAGTATTTACACTAGTCGTCTCAGGTTGCCAAGTCTGGATTGTGGAGGCTTCCGCTCCCACAACCATCTGGATGGAGAGGGTCTGGGGCACTGTGGAAAGAACACTGTCTTTGGAGCTGGGCAGACTAAGTTTGAGTTTGGGCCCTTATTTTAACTAGTTATGTACCATTGGGCAAGTTATTTAATTTCACTGAGTCTTAGTTTAATGTAAATCGGGGATAACTACAAAGTTCATGGGGTAGCTGCAAGGATTATTCTATGAAGTCTGTGAAGTGCTGACCACAGTCCCCTTGCATAATTAGCATTCTGTAAATAATACCTATTATGTTGTTATTATTAATTATACTTACAAATAAATTGTGTGAGGAAGGCTGCATGTTGAAATTAATTTTAAGGGCAGTTCTATGTTGGCTTCTAAGGTGTTCAGTTTCTTTTGTTGCCTTTTATATGTTCAGCAAGTAATATGTTAGACTTCCACAAGGCATGATCGAGTGGAAGAGATAGGACCTTACTGATGGCTTTGGAGTTAAGATTAAGACTCAGGAAAGAAATGGTGACCCCCTGAATATTACATTTGAGATTCTGGCATGTTGTGCTGAGAATGACACAGCTTGAGGTCAAGTGAAAAAGAACCAGGAGCTTTGACTAAAAGCGTGGTGTGGGTAGTGCTGCAGCTGTCAAGGAATCCAGTGTATTCTCCAGTAGTAGTAAATGAGGATTTGAGTGTCTAAGCAAAGGATAGCAGTAGTTTCACTGTTGTTCCTCACTGTCACTGTATGGCATAAGGAACAATGTTGCTGCTTATCCTGGAGCTGTGGGCACTGCCTTCCAGTTTCAAGTGTGTGGAAGGTTATGATTTGGAAGCCAATGCACTGTATAGAATGGGCACTCAATAAAAATTTATTGAACAAATGAGGAATAAGCTTCTGTAGGGTAGATCTAAAGGACAGCTATAGCATTGATCTATAGTGTAGAGCTAAAGGATTTAAAGAATGAAAATCAGTTAGTCCAAGTTATAGAAAGGCAAACTTTAGATCCATATTCAGAGACTTCTTAACTGTAAAAGAGTCCTCGCCTAACTGGGAAGGCGGAGGTGTCTGAAAATATCTGTAACCTAAGGTCCAACTGCCATAGAATCCTCTGTAGAGACTCAGAAAGACCTATAGGGGGAGGGAGAATATAAGTTAGGTCTTGAAGGTAGTTATGACGGGGACATCCTGAAAGTGTGGTTTTAAGAGTAGGTTGGGGGAGTGGGGGCATTTGAGGTCAGTGAACCACACAAAGCCAGGGCATAGAAGCAAGTTTGGCTTTTATGTGAGGGATTAGAGGGCAGTTTGCATTCCTTGGAGAGAGAGGATCCAGTGATTCTCCTGGGATTTGTTTTATAAGGTGTTCAGAACAGAAGCTCAAAATCCAGTCAGTTTCATATGTAGGATGATCCTACTGAATGTATTTTTGAGAACATGTCATTTTTGAGAATCTGTTGAGCCAGATTTTATGGGAAGAAAATAGGGTGTGATTCTTTAACGAAAGGTCCTGACCTACGTACTCTTTTACTAGTGTTCTTAATTCATTCTAAATAAGCTTTATTTGTTGAAATTATATTTCACACAACTGTGCTAGACCTTAAGTCTTTCTTAAAGCGAGGGGCATCTGCAGTTAAAGTGATAAATGAAACCAACAAGATTTGTTCCTGCCTACCTGAACCAGCTGTGGTTGTGCTGGTTTTGTGGGTTGGAGCAGTACTTCTCAAACTGTAAAATGTACATGTGGATCCCCTAGGGATCTTGTTAAAATCCAGAGTATGGTTCTCCAGGCTGGGGGGAGGTCTGAAATTTTGTCTAAATTTGGTTAAACCGTTGCTGTGGGACCATGGACCACACTTTGAGTAGCAAGCATTTAGAGTCTGTTTTATGGCCACCTTTTTCATTCAAGTTTAGCACAAGGCAGCTTGGCAATGCCTTGGAAAGCAGTTACTGTGTGAATAATGATTTGAATTGGGTAAGGAGAATTGGTATACTGCTTTATTACTCTACAGTCATTTGTCTTTCCCTGGAGCAAAATTTTATTTTTTGTACAAAAAATCTGTACCACTTCAAAAACATTTCAAAGCAGCTCATGTTTATTCTTGATTTATTATTGAAACACTTTTTATCTTAATGTATCCATGGTATCTGCCTTTCCAAAATGGTATTTGGTGTGTAATCACTTTGCAAGGAGAGCAGTTTCTTTTGTTTGTCCTAAATTAACTTGGCCTAATGCAATTGCAGAGATTAATTACTAAACTTTCCAGTAGGAAATTTTTGCAAGCATTTGTCTAATATATAGGAAAATATATTTAGTTTTGAATCTCTGAAACAAGTGGTTTGTTTCTATGAATGCTTTTGTTAAAATGATCAGAAAATATTTTTAGATGCTTGTAAGAGAGCTATGGTTATACCGTTAGAGATTAATTTGGGTCTTGAATGTTTTTCAGTCTCCAAGATGTCCTCATATATTGAAACTGTTCCTATCAGTATTTCATAGGAGTTTCAACGAATGCAGAGGCATTAATTATTAGGCAACTATGAGCAGATTCTTGTAGGGTTAGAATATGGGATTTGGGGGCAGGATGTGCTAATAAGGGAAAGTGAGGATAGAATGCAGAGAAGAGAGATTCTTAGGCACCAGTGGTGAAATTTGCTTGATCATAATTATGCCTTTCATTATGGAAGCTTGATATGTTCCTTGACTTGGCTTTAACATCTGGCAGGCACCCCGTTCTATTTTATTTTCATTCTCAGCATAATGGGCTTTCTCTACTTTTTCTACAAGACTTGGGCAACTGATCCAGGCTTCATTAAAGCTTCTGAAGAAGAAAGGAAAACCGTGAGCTTTCTTTGTGCTGTTACTATTTTTTTTTTAAATAAGGTCATAACCATGTTGGTTTTTATCATGGCTACATCTCCAGTGCCTGGTACCTTATAGATGCAACATAAATCAGCAAAACTGAGATTTTTTTCACTGTCATACTTTTTCATTTACTTCTATAAAAGTTAAAAAAAAGGTTGTTTTCTACTAAAGTAATACCCACCAAGACTTTTTCATATGTAGTATCTGTCAGGAGATATAAACTATTTCTTCATAGTAGCACTTCAGTAATGATCACTTAGCTTAAATTCCCCCATGTAATGCATGGAGGGTAACCAGGCACGGCCAGGGGTAGTCTGAGGTGATGACCCTTCTCTTCCCTGAGAATGTGTGAAGCTGCAAAAGACACATGTGTCTTCCTTTGCTCAATGTTTAGAAGTTGGGAGGAGTATTGTCATCTTTATTCCCTAAAGCCAGTGTTCTTGTAAGACTGAGCCCTTGGAGCTAATAGTCATCAGTTTTGATGTGTACTGATGGTTTTTAATTCTTTTTTTTTATGAGTGTATATGTGTGTATTTTTCTCTAGCAGATTATAACTGGGAGATGGTTGCCATTCATGGAGAGAAAGAGGGATGTAATTTTTCTGCATTCTAATTTTTTGGCTCTAGTTGAAAAATGCAGCCTTGAAAAGTCTCATTATTTGAAATATAGAATACTTTGGTGGCAGGTATTCCAATTCCATTTCTAGCTACCTTGCCTTGGAGAGAGCTGTGAGAATGTTATATAACCATGCATTTTATGTTCCCCAGTAAAACAATCAGAAGGTCAAACTTCATGTCTTTCAGAATATCATCACCCTTGCAGAGACTGGCTGTCTGGACTTCAGAACTTTTTGTACATCATGTCTTGTGAGTTAGTCTTTTCTTTATAATTTTTTTTCCCCTGTAATAAGAAATCAAATATTGGTAACATTGGTCATGTAAGCATTTGTTAAATCTTCATGGTATACTTATACACCATTGTTTATACCAGGTTCTAATTTTGCTCAACTGTCAGAATAGTTATATGGGAGAATGTTTATAATCTCTTGAAGTTGCCTGTGGTTAAATCTCTTTGTAAATGATCCATAGTGTGTTTTGATTGCTTTTTCCTGCCAAGAAGCGTATATTAGAACTAACTTCAAATCAGAGGCTTATGATGAAACCACTTAGTGAAAACTTTCATTTTGCAACTGAGGAATCAAGGCCTAGAAGGAAGAAGTAACTTTCCCAAATTATTGGCAGAGTCAGAAATGTAACTTGAGTTTCCTTTTTCTTAGTCCAGTGCTCATTTCTCCTTAGTCAGTGTGAATAGGCTCTGGAATTCAAATTTCCTTTAGTAATGGTCTAACCAAGACAGACATGCAGAAGTAAAGATTAATAGGGCATTCCAGAGCCTCTATGAATGGATGATCTAGTTAGGATTATTTGTGCCAGAGTCTTTATGATTTAAGAATAAGGTTTTGTTTGAAATTTGTTATCACTTGGAGACACTGTTTTTTGCTTAGGCCTGTCTTAATTGCCCATTAGATAAGGAAGCCATTAAGGTCACTCCATTGCCATGTGTGCAACTCCTGTGTCGCTCGCTATGATCAACATTGCCTGTGGACTGGGCGGTGCATAGGTGAGAGATTGGATTTTTTCATTTACCACTATGGAGATAAGCATATACTTAGTAATATGTACAACTAGTAGAAAAAGTGGAAGGGCATCCAAAGCACTCATTTTATAGCTCTTCTTCATCAGAGAATCATCTCTATGGTATAACACTTAGGAAAAACTGGGCACTTTTATGTCATTAGCATCAAAATGCTCCGTCTCCAGCATCAGGAAGGCAACACATGCAAGAATAGAGTTTGGTTGCCTGGCACCCTCACCCCTTCTGCACTTCTGTAGACCTTTCTCAGGCTGCAGGTTGCTCCTATATTACTGTGTCCAGTCTCCTGCAATATATGTATTTAGTGCTACTCCTTCGATTCATTTTCATTTTCTTGATAAGGCAATCCTTGATATTCAGAAATTGTACTTGTATAAACTTACTACATGGAAGGAAGAAAGAGACAGGGTATGATTTGCCCAAAATCCTGCCCCCCCTCTTCCTTCCAACACAGTATAGGACATCCTAGAGTTGTATATGCTTAGTAAACTTTGTTCTTTTTGAAAAAGTATCTTCCTTTATATTAGTTCAGTTAACGTGGACAGTTGACAATGATATATCAGAGCTGTCTGGTTTTGGTTTAATGGTATTTAAAAGTAAAGCAACAGCTTATTTGTTTTTTGCTTTGGTTGAAGGTTTTTGACAGGAAAGTGGTTAATAAGGTCTTGATCTGGAAAATCATTGTAAAAAAGTATTAAATCTGTTTTTTTTCTTTTTAATATAGGTTTTGGCAACCATCACTATTACATTTTCTTCTTATTTTTCCTTTCTGTTGTGTGTGACTGGATTATATATGAATGTTTCATCTGTAAGTATAAATTCTTCTTACAGCAAACTCATATATCCACACCCATATATACTTTTCTTTGTAAACTCTTATATATCACATTCTGGCTGAGTGACTATAAACCTTATCCTTAAGAGAAATGAAATGGGTCTCTCTTAAGACTTCCCCAGCACTGGGAAGCTGGAAAAATGCTTCAAGAGGTCAGTTGTCAGTATTTTGGAAGACATTGTACTCTGAAGTGACCTTGATGAATTTGAGAAGTGGTCAAAAATGCTAATTCATTTAAGGCAAGTTTAGATTTATCCCATGGTGAAGTGAGGAAAAATCAGCTGCTCAAGTATGAAACAAGGGAAGGTATAATTAAATAAAAAGGTTGATGGTGGAGAGATTGGGTGAGAGGGGAAGTGGGCACAGTAGTTAAGAAACAAAACTCTGAAAGCACATGCTATCTGATAAGTAAGTGACAACTTAGAACTGATGGGGAAACTAATAATCATTGAAAGGTTGGAAGTGATAACTTGGAAGAAAACATTAGATTGCTTATTTTACATCTCTTAAAAAGGGCAGTTAACTTTTCAGTAGCAGTGTAAAAGGGCATGGGGGGTCTCATGTAGGGTGGAGCAGCATCCAGCTGTTCCAAGGTGACTGACTAAGAAGAAGCAAGAAGGATTTGGGTTAGCTCTTAAGAACTGCAAGACAATGCTTTTCAAACCTTGGATAGGTTACCTAACTGGAAAACCTATAGCACTCGTAATTGTAGTTAAATATCTATGTGAAATGATTTCTTTGTGCGCTGCTATAGGCACAGGAAGGGCTTCCGTTACCTTGTCAGCCCCTTTCTCACATGACACTGTGGGTGTCTCTGATCACTAGAGAATGTTTTTGTAGCTCCATGTTACCATCACCATCTCAAATGAATCAGTGTCAGAAAGTTGCGATCCCTGATCTCAGTTCTTGTCAAAGGCCCTCGGTAATCTTGTGCATTGGAATTTTAAAACATCTTAGATTTTGTCCTGTGGTGTAAGAAATAAGATGTTTTGACAATGCTTCTTTCTGTTTAAAGAGCTGCCCTTTTAAGGCCTGACAATAAAGCATATTCCCGGAAAAATCTTAAGCTGGCCCATGGACCAACTTGTCCCTTGGACTTGATCCTAGGGTAGAGGAGCCAGATTGTACAACACACCACTCTTGTTTCTCCCCATTCTTTCTCTTCACCAAATATAGTCACCTTTGTTGGGTGTTTATGTCTAATGTAAGACTATATTGATAAGGCCAAAAGTAATTTTCTGTCACTTTAATTCTTTCCAAGTTGCTTTCTTGTTACATGTACTAGTTCTTCCCTTTTCTTTGTCTTTATTCTTTATACACCATTGTTTATACCAGGTTCTAATTTTGCTCAACTGTCAGAATAGTTATATGGGAGAATGTTTATAATCTCTTGAAGTTGCCTGTGGTTAAATCTCTTTGTAAATGATCCATAGTGTGTTTTGATTGCTTTTTCCTGCCAAGAAGCATATATTAGAACTAACTTCAAATCAGAGGCTTATGATGAAACCACTTAGTGAAAACTTTCATTTTGCAACTGAGGAATCAAGGCCTAGAAGGAAGAAGTAACTTTCCCAAATTATTGGCAGAGTCAGAAATGTAACTTGAGTTTCCTTTTTCTTAGTCCAGTGCTCATTTCTCCTTAGTCAGTGTGAATAGGCTCTGGAATTCAAATTTCCTTTAGTAATGGTCTAACCAAGACAGACATGCAGAAGTAAAGATTAATAGGGCATTCCAGAGCCTCTATGAATGGATGATCTAGTTAGGATTATTTGTGCCAGAGTCTTTATGATTTAAGAATAAGGTTTTGTTTGAAATTTGTTATCACTTGGAGACACTGTTTTTTGCTTAGGCCTGTCTTAATTGCCCATTAGATAAGGAAGCCATTAAGGTCACTCCATTGCCATGTGTGCAACTCCTGTGTCGCTCGCTATGATCAACATTGCCTGTGGACTGGGCGGTGCATAGGTGAGAGATTGGATTTTTTCATTTACCACTATGGAGATAAGCATATACTTAGTAATATGTACAACTAGTAGAAAAAGTGGAAGGGCATCCAAAGCACTCATTTTATAGCTCTTCTTCATCAGAGAATCATCTCTATGGTATAACACTTAGGAAAAACTGGGCACTTTTATGTCATTAGCATCAAAATGCTCCGTCTCCAGCATCAGGAAGGCAACACATGCAAGAATAGAGTTTGGTTGCCTGGCACCCTCACCCCTTCTGCACTTCTGTAGACCTTTCTCAGGCTGCAGGTTGCTCCTATATTACTGTGTCCAGTCTCCTGCAATATATGTATTTAGTGCTACTCCTTAGATTCATTTTCATTTTCTTGATAAGGCAATCCTTGATATTCAGAAATTGTACTTGTATAAACTTACTACATGGAAGGAAGAAAGAGACAGGGTATGATTTGCCCAAAATCCTGCCCCCCCTCTTCCTTCCAACACAGTATAGGACATCCTAGAGTTGTATATGCTTAGTAAACTTTGTTCTTTTTGAAAAAGTATCTTCCTTTATATTAGTTCAGTTAACGTGGACAGTTGACAATGATATATCAGAGCTGTCTGGTTTTGGTTTAATGGTATTTAAAAGTAAAGCAACAGCTTATTTGTTTTTTGCTTTGGTTGAAGGTTTTTGACAGGAAAGTGGTTAATAAGGTCTTGATCTGGAAAATCATTGTAAAAAAGTATTAAATCTGTTTTTTTTCTTTTTAATATAGGTTTTGGCAACCATCACTATTACATTTTCTTCTTATTTTTCCTTTCTGTTGTGTGTAACTGGATTATATATGAATGTTTCATCTGTAAGTATAAATTCTTCTTACAGCAAACTCATATATCCACACCCATATATACTTTTCTTTGTAAACTCTTATATATCACATTCTGGCTGAGTGACTATAAACCTTATCCCTAAGAGAAATGAAATGGGTCTCTCTTAAGACTTCCCCAGCACTGGGAAGCTGGAAAAATGCTTCAAGAGGTCAGTTGTCAGTATTTTGGAAGACATTGTACTCTGAAGTGACCTTGATGAATTTGAGAAGTGGTCAAAAATGCTAATTCATTTAAGGCAAGTTTAGATTTATCCCATGGTGAAGTGAGGAAAAATCAGCTGCTCAAGTATGAAACAAGGGAAGGTATAATTAAATAAAAAGGTTGATGGTGGAGAGATTGGGTGAGAGGGGAAGTGGGCACAGTAGTTAAGAAACAAAACTCTGAAAGCACATGCTATCTGATAAGTAAGTGACAACTTAGAACTGATGGGGAAACTAATAATCATTGAAAGGTTGGAAGTGATAACTTGGAAGAAAACATTAGATTGCTTATTTTACATCTCTTAAAAAGGGCAGTTAACTTTTCAGTAGCAGTGTAAAAGGGCATGGGGGGTCTCATGTAGGGTGGAGCAGCATCCAGCTGTTCCAAGGTGACTGACTAAGAAGAAGCAAGAAGGATTTGGGTTAGCTCTTAAGAACTGCAAGACAATGCTTTTCAAACCTTGGATAGGTTACCTAACTGGAAAACCTATAGCACTCGTAATTGTAGTTAAATATCTATGTGAAATGATTTCTTTGTGCGCTGCTATAGGCACAGGAAGGGCTTCCGTTACCTTGTCAGCCCCTTTCTCACATGACACTGTGGGTGTCTCTGATCACTAGAGAATGTTTTTGTAGCTCCATGTTACCATCACCATCTCAAATGAATCAGTGTCAGAAAGTTGCGATCCCTGATCTCAGTTCTTGTCAAAGGCCCTCGGTAATCTTGTGCATTGGAATTTTAAAACATCTTAGATTTTGTCCTGTGGTGTAAGAAATAAGATGTTTTGACAATGCTTCTTTCTGTTTAAAGAGCTGCCCTTTTAAGGCCTGACAATAAAGCATATTCCCGGAAAAATCTTAAGCTGGCCCATGGACCAACTTGTCCCTTGGACTTGATCCTAGGGTAGAGGAGCCAGATTGTACAACACACCACTCTTGTTTCTCCCCCTTCTTTCTCTTCACCAAATATAGTCACCTTTGTTGGGTGTTTATGTCTAATGTAAGACTATATTGATAAGGCCAAAAGTAATTTTCTGTCACTTTAATTCTTTCCAAGTTGCTTTCTTGTTACATGTACTAGTTCTTCCCTTTTCTTTGTCTTTATTCTCTGGCTCTGAACCAATTTTTATATCGTTTTGTTTCTTAGGAACAGTTGTGTGTCGCATTGACTTGCAACTGTATAGACTAGCTGAACATATTTTGTTACTTTTATCCCATTTATACTCTGGCAGTATTTCTTTATACATGTGTCATTTATCATTATTTCACAAAGAAGGAAAATGAACTTGTGCCCCATTTTTCTAATGAAGCCTGTCATCCTGCCCTCTTTGTTTACCAGTAGCACTTTGGTTGCCAGAGCCCTGCTTACACCCCCCTCCTAGAGTGATCCACTTGCAGCTACTTGTGGCTCTGTACAGCCCCCATCCATTTCATCTTCTGTGAGGTCTGTTTTCAGGGTGAAGAGTGAGTAACTCAGAAAGTGTCAGCATCCTACAGGTTACAGGGAGGAAGATTTTAGATCCTTGTTAGGACATTGTTAACTGTTAGAGCTATCTAAAGATGAAAATGACTGACTTGAAACAATATGAGTTCCTTATCATTAGCCAGTACCACCTGATGAAAAGTGTATTATTAGTACATATTAAAATGTTATATTGCATAAGATAATATACACGGCCATTTGCAGTGATATCTTGAATCTTAAATCAGTCTTATGAAAAGTTTAGTTTGAGACCATGCTGTGTTATCAGCAAAACTCCCAGAAGAGAGCAGTAGAAATCCATGAGTTTTTTTGCTTTTATTCCTTCACTGCCAGTTACCAATGCAGTGTTATCATAGCCTTGGTTATTAGGTACCATTTTTAAAATCTTTGTTCATTGAACTGGCATTTGCAAGATAAAATCTTAAAGTTGAGTTCAGATCTGTACCATCCTGTCTTACTTTCTCCCCTCCCTGAACAGAACTATAGTGATTATATCTTCCTTAAGAATGATCACAGGTTTGTTGCCTTTTTAAATAATGGATTGGTATTTTGTGAATTCACAGATTGGTCAAATCGTTGTGCCACAACATTCAGAGAAGATGGACTGTGGACCTACCTTAATCAGATTGTGGCCTGTTCACCTTGGGTTTTATACATATTCATGCTAGCAACTTTCCATTTCTCATGGTCTACATTTTTATTATTAAATCAACTCATTCAGGTATTTATTTCTCTTATAATGCCTTTGGGTAAAATTTCTAATAACCTTGTAGTAAAGGAGAAAAACTGGAATTTCAAATCAGAAGACTTAGAAGTCTAGTTCCACCTCCGTCACCTACTGCAGTTTCCTTGTTTGTAAAATGGGGATAATAATGCCTGTCTACAGTCACAGGATAGTTTAAAGGTTAGAACATTAAGTTGTTAATGTTGGCCAGAGGAGTTATCTAATCTGTATTTTACAGATAGAGATAAAGAGACGTGAATTGAATTGCTCAAGGTCACCCACTGAGTGGCGAAATCAGAACTGAAAACTTGGGTCTTCTGACAGTCCCATTCAAAAGCTTTTTCACATCATACAATTAAATTATATGGTGTGTGAAAGTGTGATATGAACTGTAAAGCATTGTGCAAATGCGAGATAATTATTTTCCTCACTTTTTCCATCCTTGTTTGTTATCCTTATTGTGCAGTGCTTAAGTATATGGAAGTGAAGAAAAAATGAAAGATACATCACAAACCAATGGACATGGTAATTGCACTTCCAGGGAAGGTCATGGCCATTAGAAAGTTCACGCTCCAGGGCAGTAGCCACCTTCAGCTTTCTACAAAGCTTCTGTCCCTTTCCAGCTGCCTTCCTTCTCTGTGAGCGTAACCTAATTCTCATTGTTGCCATGGCCTGCCTTCATGGAATGGACAACCATGATCAGTCTGAGCCCATTACTGAAAGACCTCAGATAATTAGAGCATTCCTCAATAAAAGCAAGATTATATTCTACTTTTATGGGAAAGTGCCCGGTTCTACGATAATAATATTAAAGAAAAAGAAAAACATGCTAAGGAAAGGAATTAAAGTAATAGTACTGACCAAACTGAGGTTTCTGAATGTTCATTCTATCCCTCTAACATCTACAGACTTAGGCAGTAAGAAAAGATATTAGCTTCAGTGATTATTAATATTAATTACTACCATTTATAATACCTCTATGTATGATTTATATATTCCAAAGAACTTTCCCATCTGTTTATCTAAAAACTTTTGAGGTATAGACCATGCCAAAGTAGTGTCTCCATTTTATGATGAGAAAACTGAACCCAAGAGATGGTGAGTGCCTCGATTGGTTAGAAGTAGAAGCTAAGATTTGGGACAGCAATTCTAATTCTCTTTCTTCTTTTCTGGACTCTTAGAACACGTATATGAGACTGTAATATCCTTAATTTTTAAAAGAAAAGCTAATATGTTTGTATTTTCTAAGGCAGAATAATGGACTCAAAGTTTTGGAGAGTTTTCAAATACAATAATTCATACTAAGTTGTTTTCTTGATAAACAGAGCAGTCTAGTTATTTGAAGCCTTTCATTTCCTGAGTGTTCTGGTGAGTCATGGTTTTGACTGTAGCAAGTCAAACCGAGTATACAGACTGCTGGTAAGAACCAGGGGCTTCATTCTCACACTGATCGAGGTGTCAGTCCCAGTTCTGCCACTTTCTAAGTTGTGTGACCTGGGATGAGTTACTTCATTACGTATTTTAATTAATATAATCTCAAGCTCTTAAACAATCTATTGAGGATGGTGTGATAATCTCCATTTTACAGATAAGAAACTTAATGTTTGAGTTAACTAACATCAAATGTTAGTTATGAGATAACTCAGTGAACAGTGGGGGTTTTAATTATTTCAGAGCTTCTAAGTTACCTTAATTCTTATCCTTATCCAGATTTATGGATTTAAATGTTCTTCACCTTAGATTAACTTTTTTATTTGGCCCTTTTCAAAGAGATACTTCTAAGAAGCATATGCAGATATGAGATGCTTGTACTAATATGGACTTGTATTACACTGTTCTATTCATCTAAAAGTTTATGCCGAATGTTTCAGAATCTAAACATGGCCATAAGCCATGGCTTGAATTACTAAAACAGTTACTTCACGACTCTAAGTCAGTGCACTGTGCTTTCTTGAAGGTTAATTAAAAAAAAAAAGAAAATGCCGAGTTTCTAGCTTTACACAGAAGTATCTAGTTTAGAGCTCCTGAATCTTTGCTCCCTTCAGGATCCTTGGTAAGAAGGCTAAGCGATACTGTCTTTGGGGCAGTATTGAGTACTTGCCAGTGTCCTGTGATATGTTGCAAGAGTAACAGAGCCTCAGTATAGTGGTACCAACCTTCTTTTTCAGATTGCTTTCCTCGGCTTGACCTCCTACGAGAGAACCAGTCTGCTGAAGCAGAGCAGGCATATGAAACAGGCTCTGTCTGTCAGGAGGACCCCATACAAGTAAGTGAGCTCTGTTCTGGCCACTGAGTCCTGTGGAGGATGCTAGCCTAGCCAGTGGTTTCCCAGCCTAGTGCACCGCTCATAGCCATGCTGTCCTCTAACTTGCTATTTAGTGGAGTCGAACCTCTTCTTTCTTGGAAGCCAGGAGGTAAGTGGAAAGGTCATGAGCCCCAGAGTGGTGAGGATTTGGGATTTAGTCTCCTGGACTTACCACAAATAGTAAGTGAGTTTGAAGTTTTGCCAAGATGGGGAATCTCGCTTGTCAAGCCACATGGTCACAAGGTTGCATGCTGCTGGCAGAAAGGCAGTGTGAGATAGCTGAGCATGTGACTGAGAAAGCTAGAGGAAAGGCTCTCTGTTGAAAGCGTTAGAGTGTGAGCTTTGCCAAAATTTTCAACCTGGCTATCTCTCACCAGTGATTCTTTTATCCCTGTGTTTAATGTGCTCACCTGTGTCAGGGAGAAGCTAGTTTTTCAGGTTTGGGACGTGTTCACTCCAGAGCATTGGGTGTAGAAAACCTGTTCTCAGTTGAAAATGAGAGAGCTTGTAGGAAAGCTGTCACCTTACGGTATGAATGATCAGGCTTTGAAGCTTATCTCCCTGTCACACAGATTGGGGTCTTGGAAGCTGGGAGTGCCACAGAGGTCACCCAGAGCCTCCTGGGGATTTCAGTGCTTGCTGCATGTCGCATGAGCAGTCTATTTTAAAGCACGCTTGTGGTACAAGATGAAACTGTTAGGCTGTTAGACAAGGAAATCAGAGCCTGAGATAGGACGATGATGTGTATTTAGAGAGAAGAGAAATGGACTTAATTGGGAAGAGGTGACTGAAGTGATGGGGAGTGGACGGTGGTGTTAAGCTTGTGATGATTGGTTCAGACTGGCAAGGATAATAAAGTCCCTTTCTCAGTGGCTTAGCCAGAGGAATAAATATTTACTCCTCCCCTGAAGTATGGAAGCCTTTGGGATGTAGGTGGGTTTTTAAGCTGGTTCTTGGAAGATATGGGGTGGGGAACTATGACAAAGGAAGGGAGGGCATTTTAAGCCATGGAGAAGAGTCTGAATAGAGGGTCAGAGGTGAGAGAGCTGTTTGACAGTGGCTGAGTAATGACAGCGTCACTGGAGAAACTAACAGTAAAGCCTTAGTGCTGTTTTCAATCTGGCTTCCAAAATCCTGCCAAAATCAAAGACTGTCTTGTTTGTCCTACTTTCACTCACCAGCTAGCTCTGGATCTGGGTGCTATAAATCTCCAGCGTGTCTCTACAGTTCCACTCTGTCCATTCCATGTAGTCAGCCCCACTTCCTAGGAGAGGCAATGGTACTTTTCTGACCCTCTCACTCAACAGCAGCAGCGGCACAGTTATCCTCACGCACAGATGTGTCTTGATGAGTATAGAGGGTTGGGTCAGGTGCTTGAAAGATAGGGCAAATGCATAAAAATAAACATTCCTCATAACAGGAACAGATAGTATTCAGGAATTGAGTGGAGAAAAAATGTTGCTGATATTTTAGTGAGGAAGGCTCTAAAGTGGAGTGGACCTTGACTGGGACCTTAGAACTGGTAGGACTTAAAAGGATAAGGGGGTAACCCCAGGTGAGGGTAGAAGAAAGGCCTGTGCAGTTATGATCATAGCAGGAGGTTTATGAAAGATGAGTTTGGGGAGCTAACATCTGAGGAGTCAAAGGTGAGGGATTTGGATTTGGCTTGAAATTTGGAATTTTGATTTCACTCCTCTGGGTAGAGGAGTGTCTTCAAAGAGTTTTGATAAGGGTTTTGGATGACAGTCTGTAACATGAAAGATTAATGGGAAAGGCCTGAGACAGGGACATCATTTAGACAGCTACTTAGAAAGTTTCAGAAAAAGCCTATCTTGTTGATTGCACAGTTTTTGGCCTGTCTGGCCTTTGAGCTAATAAAAATCTGAATTAGGGCAGTAGGACCGGAAAGAAAGAAACGTGTTGCTGGCAGTGGCCATTCCAGTGAGTGGGGGACCCAAAATGAAATTAAGTTGCTGGGCAGAAGCCAGGGAACTCAAAATAGGGACTCAGATCCAGAAATGGAACTGGACTTCAGTTTTAAGGTCCCATAAGCTCAAGAACTGTCTGATTCACCTCTGGATTACTTAGGGTCTTTGAAGGACTTTGTATATTGTCAGTTCTCAGTGCATGTTTATTGTTTGAATGGATGTTTGTTGAGAGGTAAACGGGAAGTGTAGTAAGACGTGTTCCCTTCCTTCTTGCAGCCTTGGGTTCTCACAGAACCTCGCAGATTTCTTTCACTGTGGCTGCTTTGGCTTGGTGAAGCCCTGTGCAGTGGATTGGACGTCACAATACACCATGGTCTTTCACCCAGCTAGGGAGAAAGTCCTTCGCTCAGTATGAAGAAAAGCAATCCCAAACTCTCCCCCTGATGTGTTTATGTTTATGTTGATGCCCTATGGTCTGCAAATAAAGTGAAGATTTATTAGAGTTCACCTAAGCCCAAAGGAAAACACAGGTTGGTAAAAACAGTTCTTGATAAAGGCATTAGCCTTCTTTAGATTTAGCAAGATGGACTGTTCCTGAACAATCTTGGCAGACATGTAAAAAAACCTTTTATATTTTTCACTAGAAAGTGCAGGTTACTTTTTTTTGGAGATAATATCCACTAATTTTGGCCAAAATGTGTTATTTTCAGATACTTTGTTGTTTGTTTCCAAACAATACATACTGTTCTTTAAACTTGTAATTTTTGGTAAATTATTTGTCTTTGTTTTATCTATACATATGTAAAAAATATTTAAATAGATGTACCTGTTTTGCTTTCACATTTAATAAAAATCTTTTTTTGTAGTTGAGACTTTGTCTCTGATAATTAACACTTACAGAGTCTTCGATTGACTTAGATATAGGACATAAAGAAACTGATGAACAATTCCAGGAATGAGTTGAGTTCACTGTTCACACCAGTAAGGAAGACTTAAAAATTACATAGGAAGTCTTAAAAATTACTCTTTATATTGTACCCTTGAAATACTAGACTGGTATGATTGTAATTGCATTATTTCCTGTTCTGGAGGAAATACTAATTCAGCTTTAAGTCTTGGTATTTTACATAAATGCCCCCGTGGATGGCACCTTGCTGCTGAAAACCCCTCCTTGAGAATCCCATTGCTCTTGTGGTAAAAGCCAAAATTCTCATTGTGACCTACAAGGCCCTGAATAATATAACCTTATTTTGTTCACCAGTCTCATTCTGGACCACACTTTGTACTCTAACACTGACCTGTCCATTCCTCAAGGATCCCTTCTCTTCTCTTCTACAGAGCCTTTGCAGATAAGGAAACTAAAGAAGTTTGTATCCTGTCCAAGATAACATAGACACTGAGTTGGGGTAGCCACTCCAGAGTCCCAGTCACCTAAGGACTTTTTCAAGTTACATCCTCTCTCCCTTCTTTCTTACTAACCCCTACCAAGTAAATACTCTCAAATTGTTGTCCTAAACCATTTAGATCAGAATCACAGGGATGGGGTAGGGACTGGGCTCACTTGTGTAAAATTCAAATTCCCCACTTTATACCTTCTAAGCCACTGTATTCCAGCACTTTTAATTGGTATGTAACATGGAAAGCACATTTCATTCATGTTTAAATTATTCCACAAATATCTGCTGAGCACCATGTTAGGTCTCACAGGCCATGAAATGTTTAGCTGGATATTACTAATCATGGAGCTTGCAGTCTAGAGGGAAAGCTAAGATAAATGAAACTATACTGTAATGTAGAAAATATTTTAAATGCCATAAGGAGGAGTACAAATAAAATTTTGTTGGACTTCAGCAGTTGGAGAGAGCCTCCATAGGTGTGATCAAGGAAGTGTTTATGGACACCAGGGCATTAGAAAGGTAGTTCAATGATATTTAGTTTGGGAAATATGGAATTGGAAGTAAAGGGTATTCTGGAGGAGAAACTCTAGAGTAAAGACAGTGGGAAGGTCTGTAGTATAGCCAGACCATGACAGGCTGGGTCTATATTACGTTTGAAGTGCAGAGTTAGGTTAATAATTTGGAAAGGGGAATTGTGGCCAGATTACCAGGGGCCTTAAATGTTCAGCAAACGGGCTGTTAAATTAAAGTGAGCAACAAGGAGCTATTTCTTTATTCTCTTATCAGTAAAAGTCCTTAAAAAGGTTAAGTATAGTCAGTATCTCCAATTCCTCTCTTCCCATCCTTCTTTTAACCCCACGGCCATTAGGTGTTCACCCCCTGCACTCCACAGAAACTGTCTTGTCAGCCACCTGTCCAGCTGCTCTTTCCCATCCCTCCCGTGGTGCTGAATTCAGTGGTCACCTTCGAGTCCTCACCCTGTAGAACCTACCAGCAGCATTTGGCATTGATCACTCCCTCTTCCTTATTATTCTTGCCTCTCGGTCCCCAGGAGACAGCATGCTTGGGTATCTTCCTGATGGCGCCCGTTACTTTTGAGAGCCTGAAGTCTCCTTTGCCTTTTTTCCACCCCTACCATGTACTGTTGGAATGCCTCAGGGGCCAGTTCTTGATTTCCTTGCTCCTTATCTAAATTCATTTCCTCTTCCTTGATAATCTCATCTAATTGTGTGCCTGCATATACCATCTGTATGCCAAAACACCCCAGATTTTTAGCTCCCATTTAGACTTCCTTCTCTAACTCCAGACTGTACTTGACATATCCCATTAAATGTCTAATAGACATCATGAACAACAGGTCCAAAATTGAAATCGAACTTCTAATTTCCACTCTATCCTCACCCACACAAATAAAAGACTTAAAAAATTAAGTAAAATATAATACATTTAAAAACAAAAAGTAAACATCCCTGTCCTCTACCCTCAGTCTTCCCCCATCAGTTGATCAGAAACTCCATCCTTTCAAATACTTAGGTCAAAACCTTAGAATCTTTTCTTGATAGCTCCCTTTTCCTCATAATACTCCAGACTCATCTCTGAGAAATCCTAGGGGCTCTATCTTCAAAATACATCCAGGGTTGAATGCTCCTGGCCACCACTGCTGCTGTAGTTTCAAGTTACCCGCTCCTTGCCCGGGTGACTACAGCCCTCTTATTTAGTCTCCTTGCTGCCATCCTCACACTGCAAGCAGCTGCAGTGATCCTTGTAAAAGACAAATCGAATCATATCCCTCCTCTGCTCGGAACCCTCTGATGGCTCTTCATTTCACCAGAGGGAGATCCGAAGCCCAGACTGGTCTGCAGGGCCCTCTGGGATCAGACTACTTCGCTTTCCCTCCTGCTGGTCCCCACACACCCACCGGGCATGCTTCTGCCTCAGGCCACCCCCTGCCTGTTTTCTCTGCCTAGAATGCTCCTCCCACAGATACCAAGAGAGGGAAGTGCTTTTCTCCAAGCTTTTTTCCAGATGTCAATTTATTGAGACCTGTGCTCGCCAACATTTTGAAAGTTGTAACATCCTTTTCTTGGCACTCTTCCTCCTCTTTACCTGACACTACATTTTTTTCCCATTACCACTTACTGCCTTCAACATACTATATGATTGACTATGTCTCTCTTCCCACCCCATTAGAATATAAAGTCCATGAAGGATCTTTATTTTGTTCACTGATGTATCCCAAGCATGTAGAATATTGCCTGGCTCATAGTGTATGTTTAATAAATATCTGAATTAATCAGGTGAATAAGTTTGTTGAATGAATTGAAGGGTTTTTAAGCAGGATGTGATGTTGAGACAGGGACTGTGGGTGTAGTCAGAGTAGGGTGAGGGCCTCCCGGGAAAAGCAGGGCGGAATATTTATAGTCAGAGCAATGTAACAATGGGCAAAGAAGTCCCTACTGAAACTCTGTGCTAAGCACTATGCAAAGTCAAGGTCACACTAATTCTCTAGGGAAAGATACCAGACTAAGAATATAGACATCTTCAGTGAGATCAGTTAAAAGTCAAAAGGCCAGGAGCAACTTGGCCTGGAATGTTTGAGTGTTCTGCAAGGGTATCTCAGCATAACCCCTGACTTCACTGTAAAGAGCCCTAGCAGACAGACAAAAGCCAGCCCACCTTGAGGGCAGGGCAGGTGATGCAAGTCCACACCCCTAAGTTTTTTTCATGTTCTCGAAAAATCCTCAACTGCCTATAAAACCCGTAGACAACGCACCACTACGGGCTCTCTTGTCCCCTCCTGGCATAAGCCAGGAGCTCTTTACTCTCACTTTATCTCTAAATAAAAGCCTGTACCTTGCTCTCCTACCTTGAGTGTTTGTGAAGCTTATTCTTTGGCTCCGCAAACAAGAACCCCAGCATCAAATGATCAGAGCTGTGTTTGAAGACTGAATCTCCACGGGAACGCAGGAGTTCTTCACGTTACATCCTCTTCCATTCTCACCAGCCCATCAAGTAAGTATCAAATTATGGCCCATAGACCATTTACCTCAGAATGACAGGCTGGAAGTGGGGACTGGGGGTGGTGTCCAGGGGCCACTTGTTTAAAATTCAAATTCCTTTTCTCAGACCTTCCAAATCAGTCTCTGAGAGTGAGTCCTGGAATCTCATTGTTCATCAGGTCCCCCAGATAATTCTTACATATACGTGCTACAGTTTGTGAATCTTAAGGTATCTTTTTTTTTTTTGATATCATTAATCTACAATTACATGAAGAACATTATGTTTACTAG